AAACCCATGTCGTGCAATGCAGCGAAGGTCAGAAGAGGGTGTCAGATTCCCATGGAACTGGAGTTAAGGACGGTTCATAGCCACCATGTGTGTGCTGGGAATTGAACCCAGGTCCTCTGCAAGAGTAGTCAGTGCTCTTATCTGCTAAGCCATCTCTCCAGCCCCAAGATAATCTTTTTTTTTAAATAAATAATTTATTGAGAATTTCATACATGCATATAAGGTGTTTGAGCAAATCCATGCCCACTCCCTCCCTGCCAGCTCCTCCCATATCTCATCACTTTTTTTCTGATAACTTCACATATTCTTTTTTCTTTATTTTTTTAATGGTGCTTTTGGCTATTTTAACAGTCCCCCTCTGAAGAGGTAACCCTAAAATCTTTTAAGGATTAGATAAAAGCTCCCAAATATTTTCAACATTTTTGGCCTTTGGAACAGAGTATGTTGTTAAGAGGCCCAATGACGTTTTAGACAAGAAACTGGCTACTTTTCTTTGGGGTCTTTTTACCCTAACTGCCTTTCCTACCTCCTATTCTTATCACACCATCCTTTGAAGAGGTTACCCAAATTGCCAATAGGGAATCGGGACACAGACTGCTCTGGCTTCTTCCATGCTGAACAGGGACACGGGGTGAGGCAACTGGAGTACTCCTTCAGCAGGTCTATCTAAAAGACTTCCAAATTGCATAAATCTTATCTATCTCTAGGGGTAAAAGAAAGTCCTTGAATCCTGAATAGGGGATGTAAAGAAGTAAATACAAGAGTAATGACCATTACAAGTTCTAGACAGGGAACTAGAAAAAAAGAATAGGGCAATTTTCAAATGTTCATATGAGAGTCCATTGGAATTTCTTGACAAGGGCTTCCAAAAGCATCCCTCTATTGGATTCCTCCTCATTTTTCTTCTGTCTTCCAAGGTTGGACTCTAGAGTGATGGATTCGGGATTTGCTTTCAGGTATTTTGATAGCTATTTGGAGTGGTTAGAATCAGTGTCAGTTCCCTCTCAAAGGCTTCTAGATGGGAGAAAACAAATTTATCCATCATTTTAGAACAACATCTGCTTGTCTCCCTTAGCTACAGGTGGGCACTACAGTATTGGAGACCAAGAATGTCTGGGAAGTGTAATCCCTTGAACTCTTAAAGAAATATATTGATGACTTTACTCTATAGTTATACTTTCCTTTTGGGTGTTTGAGACCATACAGTTGGCCCCCAAAAATCAATTTATTTTTATACTTAAGGTCATTTGAGGATCTGTTCCTCATGCTCGGGAGGAGCCTAGCACCTTTCTTTTACCAGTTCCATCTATGTGAAGATAAGTCAAAGGTCCTGTTTGACCATGTCTGGCTTCACTTGGAAGCATGAATGAAATGTTTCCTCTAAGTTGACCCTCCTTTCTGTAGACTGGACACTGGTTCAAGTCCATCTCACGGGGTCTCCATGTCCTCCCTGAACAAGAGCACAGGTGACTCACCACAGTTACAGGACATTTTGAGAGCTGTTCCATAGTCCACTGGATCTTTGTGAACCTTGGAGGGCAAGGGGCAAAAATTGTTCTTTAAGTCCCTCTGACCACATTAGGATAGGCCTCAAACTATGGCTGCTAAACATGCAATAAGGTTAGTTCCACCAGTCTGGTACTTTTAATTATCATGTGTTTTGTAGATAAGGCTTGGGTAAAGAACCAAATGTTCTCAGATAAACCTTGACTAGATATATATTTTGTTCCTTAAACTAATTGACCAAACTATGACCATAGAAATTTTAAGACTATGTGTATGTTATTTTTGTCTCATCCTTTATATATAACAAACCTACCCAGACCTTCATCGCTTGCTTAGGCTTTCTCATTTTTTCTATTTTGGAAAACATCTCCATTCCCATATCCTTTTAACATCTTTTACATTCTCATTTTCTTTTGTAAAAAATAATTATGAGACAT